AGGATTTTAAATACTCTAATGTTAACCAGACTAATTTAAGTAGTTGGTAGATAAAAATGGATAACCACTGTACTTAGTGAAGTTCACCATAAGAAATTGTATAATTGTAGACTAGAAAAATCGAATGGGTGGAGGGAAAAATAACGTGATTATATTGGACTAAGATACTTTATATAATTATAATTACAAATTCTATCAATATAAGTAGACTTATTTAGTCTTTTTTGCAGTTCACTATTTGACTGTGTGCTTATCATTATTAGGTTTTTGATTCTGTCTCCTTTATTATTAGTTACAGTCATCTGAAAAACATATTGCGTGCCGACACACTGTTTTTTAGTTAAATTCCTGTTTAATATCTTGTGATAATTACCTATAGTTTGCAAAGTACATGCCGAGTTTCTATCTTAATCTAGAAGCAATTGAAGGAAAAATTGTTACCAAAATCATGCAACGCCGACCATATTTTTTAGCCTCTTAATTAACCTATGAGCATAAAATTGTGTTTAAACGTTAATGAAAAAAATGTAATTCACTGGCGCAAATTGCATCATGCAGTATTGTTTCCTCTTTTGACAATGTACTAATTGAGAGATTGTCACTGCTGATGGCAAATAACGAATAATTTACTGGCCAATTATTTATTTAATTTGCCATACTAGTTAGTGAGAGAACACGAATTCTAAGAAAAAGATTTGTGAGCAAGCAAAAAAGAAAAGAAATAAGCCTGAAAATTTCGAAAGAAATAAAAACGGTAGCATCGGGCATCGGTAGAGGGACACGATCTCGAAGGAGCTCGGAATTCGAAGACGAAAAGATAAAATTATAATGTTTTTCTATAAGCGTTATTTTTAATGTAAATATTTTCTATCAAAGATCTGCACAAATTTCTAAAAGTAGTGAAAGATAATTAAATGTATATAAATATGATTCACTCAGTTGTTTATTTTTAAATAATTATTTATTACATTTGGATACAATATTTACGTGCGTTATGGATCAAGCTATGAAAAAGTAAAATTGCATCAATATAAATAGCTAGTAATAGAATCATTTTATATTTACTTCATATTAAAATAATATAATAATAATAATAATAATAAAATAATCGTCAAATTCGTAGGGTTCCAGAATATTTTAGGTAATAAATTTAGGCTTGAAATTAGCTTGACTTAGCTTTTTTTATTAATTTGTCAATATGAAACGACAATGCGAGATTTTCATTCAAATGAACACCCAAAAGCTTGGCATTTTTAAATATATTTCCTTAAGACTGATAATCCTTGAATATCTTTAAAGTTTCGCTGTTTTATTTGAAGTAGCACTAAATTAGTTTCACCCTGCATTTCAAATCAACCGGTTTTGTTGAACCATTCTGTAACCTTCGATGTTAAGTCTTGATCACTGTTTACCAATAGCGATTACCTTCTATTTCCTATTAATAATTCCGTGTCGTCAACCGATTAACGAAAATAACAAAGATTTAAAAAGCGGATATCGAATTCACGAAAGGCAACAGAAAGTAACAATGGTTGACATAAAATCTAACAGAACAGATCTCATTAATCAAAGAGAATAAAATCAAAAAGAATAAAAAATATAATTCAAGCAGGTCAAAGAAGAAAAAATGCGTTTAAAAGTGGACACCTCGGGACGGAAATCTTGACTGATAATTGCGAAATCATTCTGAAGATAGATTGAATGCAAACACGTTCCGGCGATGATAATAAAAGAAAAAGGTCTAGAAATAACAGAAGTAGAAGTTATTCTGGCACTAAAAACACTCAAATGATTCGTGCTCCAGTTTCAAAGACAAATTGCCATTTGACCATTTCTTTGTTGAATGTTTTCACAAATTGTAAAAAACTAGATCGTTATTTACCAAGCGAACAATGAAAAACCACCGCCTTTGCAAAAACGATCGATTTCAAGTTCCTACTAACTTTGGAATTATTGATAAAATAAAATATCCGAATTAGGACAACAGCTGAACAATGTGAAACTATTTCGTCAATTCACAGAACTTAATCAGTGTGTATCATCAGGATTGATAGAACCATTCCGAAGAACCATCAGCAGCACAGATATTTACCATTTCGGTAAATAATTATATGTACTTGAGTCATCGTTGAAATAAATGAATACGTAAGTGCTAACAACAACAATGCAAATATTTCCTCAATCCCAAGTAATAATTCTACTCATCTTGTAGGTTGGCGATTCGTATCTGTGCCATTCTGAATAATGCATAAAGCTTAACATTTTAAATGTATTGGAAAATCAAGATTTCATAATGTTTTCCTTCGCAATATAAACACGTCAATTTAGCCGAACAAGTTGTGGTTTCACATGGAAAAGGGATTTTCCTTCCATCGACGAATAGCCAGGCTTGGATGCTTGCTGAATTCATAATTCAGTTAAGAAATCCTGCAGCTAAGTGAATAATAAACGAGAGGTGGACAAGAACTCCTAAGCTCGTATTTGTTATACATACGACTTTATAATTTAATACTAACTACGTTTTTCAGAGGAATTAATTACATAAATTGATAGGAGCATTAAATTGGTTGATTTTTATTAGCGGCCGCACCCTTGTGAAGAAAATGTCAGTGGCATAAGCAAACATCCCAAGCTGGAGACAACGCATTCTTTACGTATCAGTTCGCCTTGAACTATCTATAGCTATGCAATTACATTACTTTTCGAAACGTTGGCTCAATCGATAGCTAGCTTGCAATATCATATGTATTATTAAGTAATTACAATTTTCTCAAATATTTTATAATATGAGTTATAGTTAGGCTATTTATTTGGAAACTGCTATTGAAAGAAATATACCTGCAGTAATTACATTTTCTTTGAATTAACTTAAATGGCAATCAGATTCCTTCGGAATAGGAATAGGAATCACTATGCGCAAAATAAAACCAACGTCGCAAACCTGGGATAACGCGCAAAACGTCCAAAAAAACATTATTATTAAGAACTTATAAATAAATAATCAAACGAGTTAAGCTTTTGCGACTATTGCAAGCTGGTGAGCTTTTCAGTTCAATTACGATGTAGATTTTTATAAATGTGTGCTTTAAAAACAGGTCAATCAGTAGAAGTTTTTAAGATGATTTTTAAAATAAAATGTTGAAAGAGACTGCCGCAGTTCTTTGCACACATTTATACCGGAATAACTTTCTTGCGCCCCAGTTTTACTTTCAAGTATACTTGCTTATTCTTCAACGTTTTTATCTAAAAGACGTGTACATGTGAAGAGTTGATCTGTACAGCTGTTTTTGAGATACGGGATTTAAAAATTATACTTCGGAATATATCAACAAGAAAAGGCTAATTACATATAAATTATGTTCAAGCAAAGTAATTTGAACGATCTGGAGCATTGACCTAAAGCTCTTTAACGTAGGGCAGATTAATTGGGATTTTAAAGGGTTAGTAGCTTCGCTTAATTTAATTTGAGTTTTTTAAATTAAAAATTAAATTAAATTAAAACTTCAGTGGGTCTGGGTTAATATTGTATATCAAAAAATATATATTTTTTATTCTAGTAGTTCTAAAACGGCTCCTCACATTAACTCTTGTCAGGTTTATCTGTTTGAGAGTAACAAGTTTTATTTAATAGCAAAATATAATTTGTTATTGTGTTATAGATTATTCTGATTTATTTTCCTGACTGCTTGTATTTGTTATGATATTCCTATCTTTCCTGCGTCTCAGTCAAAGTGTGAAGTAAATATTTTGAAATTGGTTTATTTCATTACGTTTCGGCGAGACAACTGTACCATCATCAGATATAAAATTTACACAAACTATAAACACCAATTCACAATTAAAACATGTTGTATAAAAACTATAATTTACAAAGTGTTAAAACATTCATTAGTTTTGGAGGAAAAAAATCCTTACTTAATGATATACACTAAATAAATAATAATAAAAAACTTACTTCATAATTGGTAAAAATCTATTATAGATTGTGCAAAGTACCGCAAGTAGCTCTCTGCATTTTATGATGATAGTGAGTGAATGAAGTCATATAACTTAATTATACTTTTTCATAGTATATGATTATTAATAACAAATTACAAAACTCAATTACTTTTAACAAGGAAATACAAATAAATTGAATCGTATGCTGGAATCAGTTTGTGTTGCTTATAACTTCAACATAAAATAAATTAAATATGTACCTATTTTATTTAAGTTTAAGTAATTTAAGACAAAAGCAGCATTTAATAAAGCAACAGCAGATTTCGATGAATTTTCGAGGTCTGAATACATTTACATTGTCAGCTTTAATATCTTATACAATTACATGTTATTTAAATTTAAAAAATCAGCGAATTGTAAGAATTGTCATATTGGATAAGGCATTTATGGAATGAAGCGGGAATTTACTCGGTCTATGACAAAGCCATGTTTGTCTGGAACAAGACGGAAATCGATATATTCTCGAGATGCGAGAACTTTCGCAGTGTCTTTTGGTAGGTTGACATTGAAATCGCATTAGTTTCGAACGAACGCAAATCTGCAACTCGAATAAAATTGAATCGAAACCAAGCATTAAGTTTAAGAAGAATTATAATATACTTTAATTAACTCACCTCTAACTAAAAATTATTCGAGGTTATCCAAAATAGCATAACATATGTTTCCAGTATTCAGTTTACTTACTTTGAAACTTGGAAATTGATTGTAAAAATTGATCTCATAGATGTAGACTCTCATAGACAAATCAGCATCAGCTTCATTAATAAGAAATAATTATTTCAACATATGTCTTAACTGTTGGCATTGTTGTGAACTAGCATTCTCTGATATCAAGCACCAACGCAAAACGAGATTGATTTTTTTGCCAGTAGAAGAAATACCGATTTTGGGTGCGGGTATCTTGATGCAAAGGGAGCGCAAGGACAAATATTTTTATATGAGAAAAGCGCGTATCAAGTTCGCGAAATAGAAATGGCAATAAAAAACCAAAGCTAGACAAAGTGCATGGTCGGATGGTCGTGGATGGTGGAAATGGTAGAGTACCTTCTGTCAACTATTCTCGGCCTAATAGACTAGTTGCCGATTTAACAGCACCACGCGCGGGCAGTGCATCGCCGAAGAAGTACCATCATCATCCAATTCGCAAAATTGTGGTAATCATTTACTGCGCCGGTATTTTTTATTTTTTTTAAGTTCATTATTACTATAGGTAGGTGTATTTTTTGTTGTTTTTCAATCTCGATGAAATTGAAATAAAATTTGTTTAGGTTTTGGGGAGAGCAATTTAAATATTATACTCTTCAATTTTTTAAACCTGCCGATTTTTATTGTTATGTAGCAAAATGTTGTTAATAATTTAAAAATTTATATTGGTTACACATTAAAGCGCCTGAATTGAAGTTTAAAAGAATCAATTTAGTTTTTGTTCACTTTTTTATTTGATTCGGTATAGTCTAGTAGCAATTCTAATTMAAAATGAAAATAAGTGCCTGTTTTGTAGTAWGTTTCTTTGCAATTTCTCATTTATTTACACGTTTATTTTATTTGCTTTCAAAATTTAAAAAAGTCTATTTTAACRTTTTTAATTTTTGTTTTCAAGGAATTATTAGCACATGAATTAAAATCGATTTTTGGAATTTTAAAGTAGCAACTTTGGCTTCTTCGAACCAATAATTCATTAGAATTTATGAAATTTATTAATTATTCTGTAAAAGTCGATTTGAGCTTTGCACTCCCATTCCTGTCATAAAAATTGAACCAAAATAATATTTCAKAGAAACGAATTTTTTTTGYAAATTTCCCGAATAATGATCAATATTACAAGATAATTTTYCTCCAAAGTTTTTAACACCCATGTACAATGAAGAACCATGTTTTGATASCATGCACATCGACGATTAAATATTACCMCTAACGCTTCTCACAGGAGCCGCAGAACTAAGGATAGAATGAATGAACTATGAATATTACATAAGGTTTTTATAAATTTTACAATTRCATTTTCAATTCAAGTTTTTATTAAGTAAAATAATTTATTCTGGTAAAATCAATTGAGGAAGTYTTTTTGAGRYCACATTTCATAAATCTTCTATAAATRYATATAATCATTKTGATAATATGTAGTTGGTAATATTATTTTGTAATCGCCSRATTTTGAGAATGAATCCTTAGGTTTCWCCTTTAGTTGCTTTTAAAAAAAATAGGTTTCCAAACAATAAAAAAAATCACTTATTTRKMACAAAAWTCWAATWYGAAGWTARGACKTAGAWMAMTYCGAACMGRTTTTTAAATATTWRCTTWTYWATAAMAMWWATCTAATATGAAAACGCGTGCTGTGGCTTCGATAAATATATTTTTTWAAATAAGAACAGATTAAAGTACCTTGATTCCCTGTTTGAATAGTCTACTGAAAAATCTTTTCAASTAATAAAGTTCGATAAAACAATGACGATTCAAAAATACCAAAAATGATTGAAAACRCTTGTACTGTACACTATGTAAAATATTTAAAATGAATTAATTTACTTTTTGCATCATTTGCATTTTCACTTTAGCAGAATTGAAGAAATGCGTCAACTCTGTTCAACTTCACTTTTTGCTTATTTCAATCTTACTTTGCTCTAATCCTTAACCATTATATTTTGTTATAACAGTCTGTGCTACTGTTTTTATGTATGTAACTTCAGTTGCTCTTTGAATTTACGCTTTTCGTAAAAATCGGCTTATTAGATTTCAATCCGAATATGAGGAAACTTTCCGCATCTTCGTGCCATTTGTAGGAGCGTGATGGGTCAAGATAATTCGTTGCTTGCGTGATTAAAATTAACTTTTGATCAAATTCGTCTCTGGAAAAAGTGCAAATTAAACAGTTCATAGTTTTTATTTATTCAATGGGTACTAGTTTGTAATATCAATTTTGGCCAATTATCTGCAGGAACATTTTTTCTCGTGATGCTTGACAAATCAAATTACAGTCAAATAATAGTCCACTTACTATTTAATGTTATTAAACTTTAAAAATTGAGTTTTACATAATTTATAAATTGTTCCATCCAAAAATCCATATACTGTTATGTCCATATACCTATATGTCTGAAATAACAAAATAAACCAAAACTGCATAAATATTTGATTAATTGTAAACTTATGTATGCTCATGTATAATGATTATTATGTTATTATTTATGTTTTCTAATGTATTCAACAAACCTTAATCCAACTATGGGACAGATAGTCATTTATGCTAATTGGTTGGCAAAATACATGGAAAATGAGCAATTACATTCATGCATATTCATTTAATGGGTTTCTGGCAGCAAAACCGAGTATATCGAAATTTTTCTTAACAATACAAAAGTGACCTTTGCATATTTCTAGATTTACGGAGTTTTGAAGGTTTTGACAGTTTTGCAATTGCCATTGTTTGAGAAGAATATCCTGATCATATTGGGCGATAATGAAGAATGCTGTTGGTAGAAGTAGGTCCATTATGACTAATGTTTTTCCATTAGAAAAACGAAAATTCGTTTCAAATTTTCTACGCTTACGCAGACAAACATTATTTAATAAATAGTGCATGTAATATCTGAATTACATACATAATTAAAGATTTTATACAGCAGGCAACAGACGGTCAAAAAATTATAAAGAACTAATTACCTAAATCCGATTTTTCGCCAACTCAAGCCTAAAATAAGACATTGTTTTTCCCTCATTGTTGCCTGACTTTACTTGCTGACAAAACAGTAATTGACGACCTTTACCGTTTACACGGATATGAAGTGTGTAATCCGTTACCAGAAAGTATAGACTTGAAGGTGATTATTCGCTCTTTACGCCCGCCTGCCTCTCGGAAGAAAAACCTAACGGAAATTCGAACATCCGCAAGAGAAATTCAAAACCGTGATGATCTAGAATCTAGAAGGCAAAAACATACAAAATGTTGCTTAATGTGTAAGAAATAAATCGAACTCGTTTCATTTTGATTCCACAAAAAGTTTCAAATCAAGATACTGTCTGCATCAATTACCGATGAATCTCCGAGCCCCTCGAGGAAGTTGAATAATAAGTGTTGGAAGCTTTGCTTAAATATCAGCAGAAATCACTCTCGAAAAATCCACGCATCCAGCACAAATCCACCTTGTGCAAACAAGATAACTTAGAAGAAACTTTCGGTGAAATGTAGTTCTGCAAAATTAACACAGATGAGAAACTCCCAAAAAGTTGCCAATCATAATTTTTTGAATTTGAATTGTTAAATATATTTTTTTAAATTAGAATTTGTTCTCGTTTTCTGCATGAGGAAGTGCTACACTTTTCTGTTCTCTTATTGCCCTATTCCTGCCAATATTACGTTTGTTAGAGTAAAAGAACTGTCCCATCTGCTTTGGATGAATTTAAAAAGTTTTATAAAACTATGTGTTTTGCTTCCAGCTGGAACAGCTTCCATATCATCAAGCTAAGAGAAAGTACAATGCTGAAATTTCAACACCGTTAATTTAGATAAATCTGGAAGTGCATGTGGAAACGATGCAATTAATATGGAGCAGAGTGAAAGCATGATCTGTCCCATAAATGGGGCCGATAAATCACAGAATTTATAAAAATGCGGGGGCTGATTGGGCGGTATCTGTTAACCGCCTGTTTTGTCATGGTTAGTGCATATGACGCGGCTAATAAACTGGTAAGTGAAAAATTGGGTAATACCATACAATTTTATTGGTTTTATTGTTATCGTCGTATGGTGCGGCATGAGATTTTTTCGTCCAAAATTCGAGCCTATACAGTGCATGGAATACATAAGTAATCCTAACAAAAATGCACCTGACTAGTTTCAGCAATTTTCAATTAAACTGTTTTTATTATAAGGAGGTCGGTCAGTAAATTGAAGAGAAATATATTTTCGTTTTTATACAAATATTTACTTACCTCTTCAAAGTGTTTAAATTTGTTTAGATAATACTTATATTACTTTAAATACAAAACTTAAAAAGCTTTTCATTTGTTTGTGCCAGGTCTTGTATTGTTTTTTTTGTGCGTTGTTCTATGTCTTCATGTTCTTACGTGTCATTCGCTTTGTCTATAAAATGATTTGATTTGCGTTGAAACTTGAGGACATATATCATATTTATTGCCATGTTTGTTGATGCTTGTGTAACATAGTGCAAATTTAACACGTGATTTTTTACTTGAGCAAAACACTTTCCAATTACCAAAAATTTTAATAACTCAAAACAGGTAACGTAAATATGCATGCATAAATTTACTAAATTTGAAAAGATCATACAATGTAATTGCTTGATCCATTGAAAAAGTCAGTAAGCCATCGAACCGTATTACGCACCAGTAACTTTCGTAAATGATTAAAACTTTGTAAATTTTGTTAATATTTGCATGCTCCGGCTATAAGCAGGTACCTACTTTCGCCTTGTTTTTTAATTCCCAATTTAAACATTCAAGTTACAATATTGCGAATTTTAGCTATCAAATTTAATAAAAAAAAAAGTTTTTTCAGTTTGAGTTTACCTATATAATGCGAAATACAAAAGCCAATTGCATAATACCAAGTTACGCCAATGTATTAAAAAATATATTTGAAACACTTGATATGTTAGCAAGATCACAGGTACAAAAATTAACAGTGTTCTATTTGAAAAAAAATTGGTATTTAGATTAATCAGGTAACTTCCAAGAGAAATTTGCGGTTAGATCGTCGCTCATTTGCCCCAAAGAAGAAATCTGATTATTAATTCGTCACACGTTTTATTATTAATACCAACTGACATGTGCTTTCTAATAATCAGTTGTAGTCAAATAACCGGCAATAAAAGTAAATAATACGTTTACCACCGTGAAATTTAATAGTGTGTTAGAAACGCCTCATTTGCTTGCGATCAAAGCTAATTTAAAAACTAATAAATATCTACTATAGTGGTGCTTAATTTACATTTTGAGGAAAAAGAAGATTTGCATAATCTTCATTGAACTTTTAGATATAAATTATATTATTATATTATTATAACTTATCTACAACTTTTAGATAGTTATCAGATTAAACACCTAAAATTAAAGTGAAAAATTGGCGCAAACTTGAAAACATAAATTAAAATAACAGATTTTAACGAAAAATTGGAATGAAGGTTAATGTTTACGATTATGTTTCTCACATCTGCTAATTTTTGTTGGAATTTGTTGATAATGACTACGCGTTAATTCCAAAGTCTGCCTGGAATGGTCATATTCGCAACAAAAATGTGATCTAGTTTAATTTTTTATTGTTATTCAATGTGCTAAAAATACCTTAATAAACTCAGTTTCATTGCATTAGATAGTAAGTTGAGAAGCATTAGGACCGGCACGCATTACAATAATTACCTACACTTAACGGGAAATCGGTAATGAATTAATTACTTCTTAAAATTTGCATAGAGCTAAATAATAGCGAATTACAAAAGTTGCTGTATTAATTACATACTACCCAACAAAAGATTTATCAATCTTCTTATTGATGCTAATTATCAAGCAAGTATGGTCGGTAAATTTCACTTGAGAACTTCTAGTTGCACATCGTGACTTTAATCTGAATGTGAATACATTTTTTATTGCATTCTCCACATGTTTAATGATCAGCTTTCTTGCAATAAAATAGGCTGAATATAATGAGCTTTAAACAACAGATAAAACGTGAATCCAAAGGAAATTTTCCAGAATTTCCTGATTTAATTCAAATTAATTGTTTGATTGATATAGTAAAGCAGTTACAGGACTGTTAAATATCTAAAGTGTTTGCTGATCAGTTTTGTTTAAAACATTTCGGCTATAGGAACGACTTATGAGGGTTTTCACTTGAAAATAAAACTGATTTCAAACAAATTCGATCAATTGCTTTTTGCTGAGCAAGTTGCAAGCCACGGACTCAAAAATAACTATCCAGTTTGCAAGTAACTGATTCACTAATCCACTTTTAACAGCATAACAAAATGTTAACGATTGAAATCCAAATATTTCAGCTTGATTAGTAGGTTAGTATAATAGATTAGCGATAAATACCTTTTTAACTCTTAGTGGTTTTCGCTATAAATAGACAGCACAATTTAAGGTTAGTATATAAGGTGATGAGGAAAGAAAATAGTCGTAAATATCGTCTAGATCAACCGTCTATAAAGGTTACGCATCAATTTGCTAAATTACTAACAGAAAAATGCAACCCACTTTCTATAAGATCACAGGACGACATGCTCTCATTTACTGTATGTATACAAACAACTACTCAAGAATTTGTCACTAATATAAAGCAACATCAAGTGAATGAAAGTAATGGCCAGTTGCGGAATAAAACCACAGCTAACAAAGGAGTTTTTCAGGCTTTTAGGCCGTCGTAAAAAAGAAATTCCTCCCGACGTTTCGCATGCACAAGTGACTTTTAGAGGTGCTACACTTGAAAGCCTGCACTGATATGCAGATGTTATTTAAAAGTAAACTTTTGAGCGAAGCACCTCTGTAGATGCAAACCACTTGCAGGAGGAAAGAAGCCTAAAAGGCACAAAACTTATCAGTTTTACACACCACAAGTAGTTATGGAGTAAAATTAGTTGATAAACATATTAGATAATTTAATTAAATTTGTTCTCAAATATAATAGATCAAATTTTAATCGGCATACAAAATAAAACGAAATTTAACAGAAGTATAGGCAACAATCAAAAATATTTTTTCGACCATTACTGATACTTTTTAAAATTAGTACATTCACTTTTTTTCTAGTGTTACTGTAGGGTTACTTCTCATTGATTTCTTTGTTTAACTGTTAATTCATAATTTTTCTTTATTTCAATCTAGTATGATATGAATACTGCAGAGATACATATTTTATATCTAATTCTATTTGTTGAAACATCACTGAATTTGTCATACTTTGATTTATTTATAAAATATTACAAGCGAGCTTGTTTACCTTATTTTTGGAGCTTTTAAATATGTATATGTATGAGACAGGACGTTTTTACTCAAAATTTAGTTTATAAATGTTTCCATTTTTAATATAAATGGCTCAACAAAATGAATGTTACACAGCTAAATTTTCCTTAGCTTTGGATGTGGATAAGGTCTGATTACTATAAGCTATTTGGTTTCTGTTTGAAGCTTCATTTAGCCCCATTGGTTTTCTGTTCGTCAGTGTTTTTCGCTTTTTTTGGCCAAATTTTCTACAGGGCGGCAAACGAAAAATGCTACTTTTTGCGCAAAGTTCGGCATGCTCATAGTTGGGTAAAAATTGTTTTTTTTTGGACGCCAACCCCAAAAGTTCAAAGATGAACCAAATAGATCGAAACGGTTTTTTAATTTTTCGGCTACAGCGTTCGTTTACAGGGTGGTCTCAAAAATCTGTTTTTTGGTTTTGCAGCGATCAATTATCTGCTCTTGGTCCTATTTTCACGATCCTGAGCTCATTTTGAAGCTGAAACTTTATAAACAATCTAAGACAAAAATTTGATATACATATACAGTTAATATTTAGAGAAAAAATTACCTCAATCAGAATTTTCTCCGAAATTTGTGATTCTGGAAGTTTTTCAACTAAGTGAAGTTTAGTGTTTACTTATTATTAAGTTTATAATTTATTAAATATTCAAAAGAAAAAAAACCATCACTGCAATACCAAAATGTTGTTTTTAAAGACCATTCTATAAATACACAAGATGAACGAAAAATTCAAAAACTTTTTTCGAGGTCTTAATGCCTGTGGTGTCAAAATATAAAAAAAAAACATTTTTTTTGTTCAACTGAGGATGTGGAACTTTCCTCAATTTTGCGTTGTTGTATTTGCCACTCTGTAGAAAATTTTGCTGAAGCACAAATTTTTTGCAAAAACATGCACTAACCGAAAAAGAACTGAACTAAACAACGCTACAAACAAAAATTAAATCGCCAAGTTTGTCACTGCAACGTTGATTTTGTTAAACAGTTTATTCATGGATGCGGAGACACACAGAAAATGTGCTTAATTTAATTTAGAAATAGAGGAAAATCAATGGATTAGTCTGAAAGAAATTACTCTTGTTAGAAATTGGAGATGTAAATTTACTCATCATTGTAACTGGCGCTCGAAAATGATTAATTAAATGGCTTGCCGCTTTGCAAACAGCATTACTTAATATGGCAAGATGTTTAAATAATTAAAAGAAAAGTCGTTACATAAATGCGGGAACATTCACATTAGCGAATTAGGTAAGCGATGTTCACACAGTTTATGTACTTCGAAATTGCTCGTTTCATCTCAGTGCCCTTCATAACCCAAATGGCGCGAATTTAAATAGTTGCATTGTTTTTGCTAGTTGTAACTGCATAATCATCGTCTATCTAGATGCGAAACGCGACAATTTCGTTTTGACTGTTTTATTATGTGAATCGATAACGGTATGTCTGGTTTTTTTTATTACAATAATTACGTGACATTGCTAATTTTATGTAAAACAAATTAAAATAATAGTCACTTTTATTTGCTTTCCCTCGCAGGGTTGTATTTGCTCGACAATAGTTCTAATATACAAACATATTCCCTAATAATATTCGTTCTAAATTGGCCCAAGTAATTATTTTTTACGCTTTGATTAGAGATGCCTTAAAAACAATATTTTCGCAGGTTTTACCTTCATTCCTGAAAATTAATTAATGCTCGCAAAAAAA